GACATAATAATCCATTCTTGAGGTATAGGAAGGGTTGCAAGATTTGTAACAAGGGGATTGAATTGTAATTGATTTCACTTGCACCAATTGAAGCTAGTGTTAGGGAATTGAATTTTAAGTGTAGGAAACTTGGGGACTAGACATAGGCACCAAAGAAGGTGATGAATCAGGATAAATCAAAGCATTTGATATCTTTAACCCTACTCTTTTAATTTATGCTTTTTATTTTCTTAAGTTTCTAATTGCTTGCGAATTGCTTGTGGTTGTTCATAGCTTTGCCTTTGAAAATTACATAAGTTTTTGAAAATTCAATTCACTCACTCTCTTGGGCTGCAATCTTAACAAAGAAAATTGTAAATTTTAATAAAATTTTAGTCATTAAATTTTTAAAAATTCAATTTGGCCCAAAAAACAATATAATTTATATAGGTGATATAAATTATGATTATTATCTTCACCTGAAGAGAATGCTTGAATCAATAGACATTCATTTATTTGATGTCATATAAAAATTGTCTTAAGGGACCTAATTGAAAAAAAAAAATTTAAGGACTAAAATTTACATATATTATTAGTTATTAAACTTCAAATTCAAGCGAAGATAGGTGTTTGATCTAAACATCTAAATTGATTCTCAACTTCGTAATTTATGATTATGCTTCAACTAGTGATTATAATCATATCACATATTTCTTTTTGAACAACCAAAAACAAAATAATCATATCATATATTTAAGAAACTAAGAATCATATTCTCTATGCACTGGCCCTTGAGGCCTAGTGACATAGCCACGGTGCATTCCTCCTCCCCGACAAGGTTTTGCCGGTTCAAAACCTGCCATTGCAAAATATGTTAAAAAAAAAAAAAATCATATTCTCTATAGAAGTAAATCTTCGTTAGTTTTTCCACCAACAAAAAAAAATTCCTCTTTAATTTTGCTTAGACTTGTTGGTGTGTCAGAACAGGTTAGGCGACCATGATTTAAGGGTACCTACTTATTGCCAACTGTACAATTTACAAACATTAATTTCTTGTAGTTCGTTCTTAAAAGTAAGAATTATTATTAAATAAAACAACAGTCTTAACATTAAACTAATTCTACTCACCCACATAATTGTTTAAATTGTGTGATGTAATGATGTCTAAGCTATACCGGTTTTTGTTATAAATAAAAAGTACACGATACGTATAATAGGTCTTTCTTTTCAGTTCTTTGAGAATTCAGGGAACTTTCTGCTAGTACTAATAACCATCAGGATTGTACCAAAAAAACAAAAATGAAAAAAACTAACCATTAGGATCTTACAGGTTTCGAAATGGTTCCTTAATTCTTCCACCTACGGCGGACGGCGCCAATTTTGGCGGCATCGTGCGGCACCAACTGCCCAATCATCAACGACTTGTAGATCTCCACGATCATCTTGTCGTCATACTCCTTCATCGGGGCTTTACCAAAAGTAGCCATCCTGTCGCTAATGGCTTCACAGTACCCGGAACTGGCGAACGCCGTCGAGTGAGCAAATTTCAGCATCATATTCACATAGGCTTCGCGGAGCCAGAGGAAGAACTTCATTCCAGAAGGAAGTTTAAATTTAAGCTTGGGCTTGACTCTGAACCGCCAGAACCGCCGTCGCCTCGTGGAAGTCGGGGAACCCAGCTCCACCTCGGCCATCCGCCTCCGCCGGGACCCATTTAACTTCACGTAGCCCTTCCGCCTCCAGTACCCCTTCAATCCCTTGTACAGTTTGACTGAGATTCCTTCCATTACTCTATTTTTTGTTCGGAGAAAGGGAGATAAATCTAGGAATTAAAATTTTGCAAAGAAATATAAGTGGAAGATGGAGTGTTAAAAGGAGGAGAGGGGAGGAGAGGGGAGGGGTGGGTGTTGGGCGGGGGCAGTTCATAAATGAGAATTTGCTAAGACGTACCGGCGTTTGTCTCATATGCTAAGATCAAGATGTACCGGCATTTCTCACGGCCGTCGCTGTCCAAATTAAATGACTGCTGACAATCCACGTGCCATGTAGAGATCATCTTGACCGTACGATACACCAACAGTTTTTTTTTTTAATGATGATCTGGTGTTGATTTTCTAAAACCGTTCATTAGTGTTTTAATTATTCTAAAGTTGTGTTGTGACTTATGGGAGACTACCTATTTATTATTTATTTAATTATATTATCTGTATGTTTATAATTTAAATTTAAAATATTTTATTTTTATTTTAAAAAAATTACCACCAAATTTAACTTATATCCTGGGCAAATTGCATGATCAATTAACTT